TGACATTGGCTATCCTCCAGTCTTCAGGCACCTCCCCCATTCTCCAAGACCTCTCAAAGATGATAGAGAACAGTTCAGCATAAACCTCTGCCAGCTCCCTCAGCACCTGTGGATGCATCCCATTGGGTCCCATGGATATATGAACATTGGTGTTGCCTAGGAGCTCTTGGACTGCCTCTTCCCTGACTAAAGGGAAGTCTTCCATTCCCCAGACTCTCTCACTAACCTCCAGGGTCTGGGATAAAGAAAAACTTAGTCTTTGCCTGAGGGCAGGGTGAATGGTAATGGATGCCAGTTTTGAAATTTCTGGTCCATTCACCACAATGCTTTCTGCCCCTATGTCATATAATCAGAGCAGCTACACTGTCACACTCTCTCTTGATTTTTGTCTAAACCACTGTACTAGATCCATTAATTCTGCTGCCGTGTATGGGCAAGCTGTTACATGTAACATGCTCTGGGCAGGGGGCCACTGGTCAGGGGGCACCCCTGCTGGCCTATCCTGTTTTTGTTTTCATTTTTTGAGTTACAACTAGTCGGATCACAAAAGGATCTAGCTCTAGTGGATCCTCAAGTTCCGACCTTTTAGTGCTTTCATTTACAGAGTCCAGTTTATGTGGATTCTCTTGTATAGGGTCCCTAGTGATTTCTAGAGAGATATTCTGAATCTTCTGTAGGGGAGTGGTGGGATGCAGCGTCTGATGCACGGACTCAGATATGAACGATCCAAATTGTTTATTACAAGTTCTCACATCACTTATATACCTTCACAAGTTTTCTTTTTCTAGCTTTCCCATCCACCCCTACAACTTTCCCATCCACCTTTACATGTCAACAGAGCGTTCCACAAAACACTCTTCAACCGTTCACACAGGCCCTTATCCAATCAGAGCCATGAGACGTTCTTTCTTCTTCTAGAGGTGTCCTTGGTTCTCATGCTGTTTATCTTGCTCCACAGCTTCTGCTCTGAACAGTTTTTCTTGTATTCCCACAGTGGGATTAGGTTTTATCCCTGTCAAAATTGCAACCTGTCTTTCCAGTTCTTCAACACGGTCACGCAATAGTTGATTTTCATCACTGAGAGCTGCTTCAGTTATGTTTAGCTGGTTCAAGGCCATCAGCAGTGGCCACACCACCATGGAGGCAGCTAACCATCATTCTTGAGTAGTAAGTACATTCTTGCTAAGACTCTTGAAATACTCATTCAGGCAGGCTGGGGACTCCTAGACATTTCCTCTGTTCCGCAGGGGGCCCCATTTTTCAACAATAGGAGCAATCCTATGATAGGGGGATCCTAGGAATCCCGGGATGTGCCCTGGCAAAACTTCACTCAATGAGCTAGTCTTTCCCCATCCATACCATCCCATGATATTGTTCAGAAATGCCATGGTAATTATTTTAGGAGGTGTCATGGTTTTATGATTCTCGGTTATTGGTATTGTTGGAAATATCCAAATAATTTTTGTCAGGATGGTATCTCTGATAAAAGCAGATTATATTCACGATTGCAATGGCAGGTTTCCCGCAAGCAGGAGCACCCCTAAGGACACAATGACAACTTTTTGTACCTTGTTTCCCCCGTTGCTTATCCCTCTCCCCTGTTTCCCCATTGGCTGGGTACTCCAGGTTCACAATCTTATCACAGTATACATTTGTTAATTGGCATGTTATCTGGTTTCAGTCAGTAGCCATCCCGTTGTTTCCAAGATGTCTCAGTACTCTTCTTGTCTTATTGATACGGTGATTTTCTTCAAAGTCTTCATTAAACAAAGAGCACCGGATGGGGGGGGCAGGTGATGCCAGGTCTTCCCGATGTCTCTTCAGGTGCTACCTTGGGCATGCCATGACTTGTTCTCTGGTTTGATCAATCTCGTGCAGGATATTCCTGCAATGTGTATGACAAAATATACATATATGCACCTATATACAGAGCATGCATTCCTGGGGAAGGTTTGTCTAGAGAACAAGTGGTGTAAACTATCAGAGACCCCCCCCAAGTAAAGTAGAAAGACTCCCCAAAAGAACTATGACAGCGGAGACCACAAAATAAAAAAATATTATCCAATTCTAATGCAGAAACAACATTTGATTCCCACAATTACCCCCTTTTCTTTTTTTTCATACAGTGTTGATTTCTGCAGTTCCTTTTTTAAGGTTCACTTTTATAGACATCTCCCTCTTCTCCACTTTCTTTATCTCCCATCTCCTCTAATACCATCATTTTATCCAAATATGATGGTGGTGGCTCCATTGGTGTTTGGTTCAATAGAGCTGTCTCGATCAATCACTGTACCAGTCCTCTCACACAGGGGATAACACAGCAACCAATGGCCATCAGGGCTCCTGCTACTACTATCAGAGAAGTGGATATAATCACCCCCTTTCCATTTACCAAACCAGGACTCCAACCATCCAGTGATAGAAGTATCTATTCCTGATTTTTCTGCCAGTTCACTGGCAAGGGTGGTAAGCCCTTGCAATGCCTTAGTTATTATGTCATCCAGAGCTGTGTTACTGGGATGAAGGTGCAACAGAGGGTACCCAGCATTACACATACACCCCTTTTTTCCAGCTTGTATCATATCTTAGGAGATCCTATTTTCCCAGGCCATCCTGCTTGTGGCATCTAACTGTTCTGCAATCCCCTTTATTGCACTCTTTGTATAATTTGTAAATCTCCATTGATTATAACAGATGTAGTTAATTCAATCTACATTCTTGTTGATCATCACCCACCAGGACAGTGACTCAAACCCCGCAACAACTTGATTTCTCGCCTTAAAATCATCAGGGACAACAAGAAGTGAAAAGTTTAAATCCTTAGCTTGCCCACATACCAAACTTTGCAATGACATTTTTCACAAGAGATACATAATCATTTACATCAAACGCTGCACTTAATCAAATTAACGTCTAACAATTATAAGAGCCCATATTACTGTCTTTGGATTCACAATTTTAAGGGTCCAGCTGACTTCAGTTCCCACTGTGTTTGAGGGACCTTCTTAACTCTAGTATGATGTATCCACAATGCTTGTTCTTTAATTTTTACTGTTGTTCCAGGGGTGAATGTGAAAGAGATCTGCTACATACATATAATCTCCTTTTAAAATATTATGTATCGAGCCGTCAAGGCCTTGGGCTCTAGTTCCTAGAACCGGTTTCTCTATTCCCCAAAGCTATTCCTGTAGACTTATCACATGCTCAGTTAGTATTTCACTCCCTACTTGGGTAGAGATCCCCATTTGTACATCATAAGGCCTTTTGTACAGTATTTTGAAAGGACTTAACCCCTCTTTGGCTCTAGGTTTCATTCTGCTCCTAAGGAGAGCCAAAGGCAGCAACTGTGGCCAGGATAGTCCAGCTTCCTGGCCCAGTTTTACAACCTGTGACTTAATTAGATAGTTCATCTTTTCCACCTGACCACTCGCCTGTGGTCTGTGTGGTATGTGCATGTCGTGGTTTTGTGATTTTTGGTTTTCGGTATTCCACATCATAACATCATGTAGGGCAGCGGGATTTTAACTGTTAATGCTCAAGTTCTGGGTACCTGCCCGGAAGAGAAGAAGAACTACATTCCCCAGGGGACTTTGTGGTCACAGAGAGTCTCGAGATATAACTCCTGGCAAGGTCACCTGATGCGCTCTTCTTCGCCTGCTCTTCTTCATTGGCTCTCTTCCCCGTCTCCCTGCTGCTCAACTGGACTGCGCATCTCACCTCAGCATTGTGGTGAGGCCTATCCACCTTTCAGACATTATCTCTCTCATTATATTTGATTTATTAGCTTCAATTTTAATTATATTGTATTATAGTGTGTTATCTTGCATTCCGATAATATATTTAGTAAATTAGTTTGTTTCTCCTCAGATCATTGATGCATTTTTAATTATTTTGGGGTCCCCTGTTCCCTTTTTCCAGAGGCGCGGATTTTGCAAAATCCCTCTGCCCCGCTAGTCACGGAACAGGGCCAAACCAGCCCGTAAACCGTTGACAGTACAATTGCCAATTTATTCCCAATGCTTGCTGACCTGTTGGACAATCTCTGCAAGAAAGTGAGTTCCCTGGTTGAAGGGTATTGTTGCAGGACCCCCAAACCTTGGTATAATCTCCTGCAACAATACCTTGGTTATTTCTTTGGCTTTATTGGTCCTGCAAGGGAATGCTTATGGCCACCCTGAATGGGTCGTGGTTAGAACTAGCATATTCCGAAACCCTCCTTTTTCCTGGCAGTTCTGAAAAAAAAAATCAATTTGCGATTGTTGCCCTGGAAGGTTCCCTTTCCCAACAAGCCCCACTTGTACCCTGTTCCTGGTTCTGGGATTGTACAGTTACTTTCTGGTGTCTGTACCCCCTATATGTTTTATTATGTTCCCTTAGAACCAAATTCTATAAAATACTAAAGGGCACAACAATGTGTCCATCTCGGTATGCACCCATCTATCAGCTTGCTCTCTTCCCTTCTAAATCATTAATTAGATTCCTATACTCTCTAGAATACCTTATAGGTTCTGACTAAGGTTCAGTAATTTTAAGTTTACCGTCTGGAATTAAAGCCAGTTCACCAATTTCTTTTCCTTCAGCTGCCTGTTTTGCCACCCGATCCACCATCACATTCTCAGTTTCCTGTATAGTGTAACTCTTCTGATGTTCTTTACAATGTATAACAGCCACACTGCTCTTTGGTAGATTTGCAGATTTGCATCATGCTGAATTTGTTTTCCTTGTCTGTAAGCAACCCTCGCTGTTTCCAGATGGTACCATGAGTGGGTACCAGCAAAAAGCATATTTAGCATCTGTCCATATATTTAAGGTTCTTGTCAAGGCAGTTATTTCAGCCTTCTGAGCAGAAGTCCCCACAGGTAATGGTTTTGCTTCAATCATCTTGTCAGTAGCAGTCACTACATATCCTGCCTTACAGTTTCCTTGTCTCACAAAACTGCTTCCGTCGATGAATCCAGGAATCCTCAGCGTTGTCCAACGGTTCCTCCTGTAGGTCTGACCAACTGGCATAGACAGTCTCCAAGCAGTCGCACACTGGTGGCTTGGAGGTAGCTCTGTGTTGGTGTTCTGGGTGTTCAGCAAATTGCTTCCTTCTCTTTGATCAGTTGTGCTTTCTGTTGAGAAACTTGATAACCATTTAAATCAAGAAATTCAGTAAACTCACAGTCCATTGTACACAATCCTCTTTTGTTACTGTGGCATCCACGTACTGCAGTGAAGTTCCAGTGTGGGATGGAGGAACCCAAATCTCAGGCTCACGAGCTGACCAGTTCTCAAAAATCATTGGGCTGTTCTAACAACCCTGGGTAACACTGTCCAGGTTAACTGAATTTTTCTTATTTTATTTATTTATTTTTTTAATTATTATTTTTTTCCTTCTCCCTGTATTGGATGATGTGAAGCCTTCTGATGTCTCTTCAGGCGCTTCCTCAGGCATGCCATGACTTGTTCTATGGTTTGATCAATCTCGTGCAGGATATTCTCTCAATGTGTATGATAAAATATACCTATATATACCTATATACAGTGTGCATTCCTGGGAAGGTTCACCTAGAGGATAAGTGATGATCAGAGACACCCCCCAAGTAAAGTAGAAAGACTCCCAAAAAGAACTATGACAGTGGAGACCATGAAATAAAAAAAAATATTGTCCAATTCTAATGCAGAAACAACATTTGATTCTCACAGTTATAAAGCCTTGATAGGTCACCTGACGTGCTCTTTCCCCTTTTTCATCTCTCCTCCCTGCTGCTCATTCCAACCGCATGCATTGCCTCAGCATTATTGTAAGGCCTTTCAGTTTTTGGATGCTCTTTCTCTCATTATATTTGATTTATTAGCTTCCATTCTAATTACATTGTGTTATAGTGTGTTATCTTGCATTCCGATTCCATATTTGGTAAATTAATTTCTTTCTTCTCATTGCCGCTGTTTTTAAATATTTGGGGTCCCCCATTTCCCCTTTCCAGAGGCGTGGATCTGCAGATCCCTCTGCCCCGCTAGTCACAGAACTGGGCCGAACCAGCCTGTACACCGTTGACAAGATTGTTAATAGAATCTGCTTCACTAGAGGGCAAGAATGCTGTCCTGCAGAACATGCCAGTTTCTCATTATCTACTGCTAATGGCACAATTTCCTGTATCTCTTTAGCTCTTTCTATTTACATTGATTTTATCAGAAAAAGACCATCTCTATGTATCCTGATTTTCTTCTTTGCTCCACTGGCAGCCAGAGTAGATTTTTTTTTTATTCCCTATACAAGCAAGTGATGTCTTAAAAGGAGTCCCAAACTAGAAAGTGACAAAGCTTAGACATGTGAATAATGAGTTAGTGGTCTGGAATTGTAATCTGACTCCCTGGACATCTTCCCCTTCTGAAATGCACTTTCAGATGCAAACCAGTTCAGTATCAGATTTTCTTTCTAGGCTATTTGTCCTCTAGAGGCTTTGCTGTTTTCCTTACACTGTATTTATTTCCTCTGTATGTCTCAGAAACAAATGTCCACTTGTTTAAATTGCTGAATATTTTGTTACCCACAGAAACAGCAAAAGACGTCTCTTGTAGAATATTTATTGTATTTAATAGTGACATAATTTCTCTAATGACAGTTGGTGCCTTTGGCCCCATTGTCTGTGTTTTCTTTACAATGTCTTTGTTGTGCATCTTTTTCATTAGAAAAGTAGTGTATTTCCACTCTAACCCTGAATGCAATGTTTGTAATTAACAAGGTGTTCGGACTTCAGTTTTTAAACCCTCAGCAGTTTTCTGCAATTGACTCAAAACCCTATGGTTGAGACAAGATCAGAACTAGAGAAATCTTATCTGGAAAGCATGGTCTTAAGTTTATCTGGGTTTGGAAAAAGATACCTGAATCTGTGCAAAAGTTAATCAAAAGATCCGTTATGAGAAATGATGATGGGGGTGTGAAGAAGATTATATCTCAGACTATATTTTTTCATGTTTGATAGTTTTTAGAATTATGTACATTAACAAGTTCTTTTCAAAGGATAGACATCATTAATTTTTTTTAAGCTAATAAAAAAATAACAATACAGTAATTTCTTTTTGAACAGCCTTCAGGCACCTATGTCCAAACTACACCAGACTTACCTTCAGGCTGGGAAGAAAGGAAGGATGCAAAGGGCCGTACTTATTATGTCAATCACAACAATCAAACCACAACCTGGACACGGCCCATTATACAGGTATGGAGATCTGTCATGTTGCTCCATTTAGATAGTGTTGGAAATATCCAAATAATTTTTGTCAAGATGGTATCTGATAAAAGCAGATTTTATTTGCAATTGCAATGGCGGGCATCCCACAAGCAGGAGCGCACCTATGGACACAACATGACAGTTTTTATACCCTGTTTTCTCCCCCTTGCCTTCCCCCCCTCCACTGTTTCCCCACATTGGCTGGGTACTCCAGGTTCACAATCTTATCAGAAGGTTTACATTTGTTAATTACTTGTTAATTTGTTTGTTATCTGGTGTCAGTCCTGTCTCTCCAAGATGTCTCAACACTCTTGTTCATATTGATAAGGTGATTTTCTTCAGAGTCCTTGTTAAACAAAGAGTACGAAGGGGAGGTGCCCGATCTTCCTCAATACCTTCTCCAGGCACTCCCTGAGACATGTAACGAATTGTCCTTTTAATTTGCACAGGATACACTTGCAATGTGTGTGACATATATTTTCAATGCTGGCTATACATAAGTTGTTTCTAGCTTATATATGTATGTTTTTAATTATTTAACTTCTCCTCCTTTAATTCTCTATTACTCAGGTACTGTCTATCCAGTACCAAAAGCTAGTAGTTTTCTAACATCAAGGGGTTTCTGATTTGTAAAGATATTTATTACATCTAGCTTGCCTTTAACTGAAGGCCCAGAAGTTTTTCAGATGGCTGGACAGACAGGAGCTTCAGTCTTTGTGCTTATAATTTACTCCATCTACCTAATCTGTATGGATACATATATATACATATTACTTTACTTACATACTGAGTATGTGTTGTTGGGGAAGATTTATCTAGGGATTAGCAATGAAAACTTATCAGAGAACCCCAATAAAGTAGAAAGGCCCCTGAAAATTTGTTATTTCTCCTTATCTTAATTGGACCATTATTCTTTCCTTCTCCCCAAAGGGGACTCCCTTTCTCTGTCACACTTGAAACTGCGACAGCCAGCAATGCGCACTTGCAGCCCAGAAGGCCAACTGTATCCTGGGTT